ATGCGCGTTTGCATGTAGGGGTGTAGTTAAATCAACACAAAAGGGTATCAAACGCAAACAGAAAAAGCGTTACATATGTACCATATGTACATACATACATATGTATTTGGTTAGAATATTTTCTTGCAATGACAGATTGTGTTAAACGTGCTCTCCTACACCACTACAGAGTTACATGATGTCTATGAGGTTCTTTGTAACAGTATCTGCCGCTATGCACCACAAGCGTTACGTTCTCATTGCAAGTATTTCAAAATGTCCAATGCCCCACCGTCAATCCACTTTACACCAGATCTTTCTCTCATCACTTCTGTTTTGCGCTTCGTTGCTTTTGCCCAGAAAAGCTTTTACAGATTGAATTTACAACAGTTTAACATGCAACAATCTTTCAAAATATCCACACTCATCCAGGCGAATATGCGTGCGGGGTATTCGGTTTAGCATGCGATACCACAAATCCTTGACTACTGCAGCTGTCTGTGCAGCGATGCATTTGGTGCACAGATGCTGAGCTAGCTTTCAGCTACACAAAGCTCGACTTCCCGGTATAATCGGCCAGCTATAGCTTTGTTTGTACAATACTTGTACATGCAGGTGTTAAAAAAAAATAAGTGAGAAAAACAATAACAACATAAACAAAATAGTGTTGGCAATTCAGCAGAAACACGGCAACAATTTTGCTGTTTCAACAATAAAAAGCAGCAGATGGCTGAGGTTGCAGCATTTGCAATTTGTTTTTCAATTTTTGTAATGTGGTATGTGGCAGGATCATGTAGCAGCGGGCGGTTGCATAAGTTGGTGGCAGCATAAATTTTTTTTAGTTGAAATACACCTGACCAGGCACGCACAAGCACACGTGATATTCAGTCAAAGGTGGTATGTGCGCACATTTTTGCCGAGTTTAGGCGGTTTTTTTTTGTTAAATATTTTTCAAAGTGAAAAACGCTTTTCGAACTAATTATAGATTAATAAAAAAATTAATGCAGTTTCGGAGCAAAGCAAATGCAATGACGTAAACTTTAATTAAAGCAGCGCCTGCTTGGCAAAAATTATTTTTGCAGTTTTGAATAGTTTATATTGCAGTAGATTTTCAAAGAAAATATGTTAATAATAAAAATGGAATTTCTGCATTTCAAAGTGAAATTCTAAATGGCAGCGAATCAACCAAAGAAGGCACGTAACCATCATAGAATTAAACAAGGCTCGGCAGTCGCGAATCGATTTAACCTCGTTGTTTAAAGCAGTAGCTTTTCCAGCCCAAATAACGGGATTTCAAAACTGAATATACAGCGAATAGTGTTAAGACCAGCGTTCATCCTACAAGAACTATGAAATACCTCTGCATTTGCGCACTAATATAAAAAACGTGTAGTTTCTTTATTCGTTATCAAATGCGTAGTCAAGGAAGCACCTAAAGTAGACTTTCAACAAGCTCAAACTGCAGAACCGCCGTCTATGCATAACTAGCGAAGACAAATCTACGTTTTTAGTATAAGGAACTCAAAGCAGTTCAGCTCCACACAGAAACCACCAAGCAAGCCAATTCTCACGCTATTCAGTGTATGAAAGGATCTTAGGCGCAGAGTAAGCACTTCAGCAAATCTAAAACAGCTTAAAAAGCTACGTCTTCGGGTTGGAGCGGACACAGCCAGCTAAACCGCATGACACCCACGAATGGAGTAGAGCAAAGTTTATAAAGCAAACTATCAAGAGCTTACTGCGATGTAAAATGAAAAGTACGGTATAAAATGCCGAAATGATTTCGTGCAAAAGAGCAGTAAGTCAAGCTGCTTTCAAGAATAAATACGATGCAACTGTGGCGCATATTCTAAAGATTTCTCCGGAGACGTTAAAGCAAAGGGAGCTATTGTATGTCAAAACTGCTACCTACTTTTCTTTCGCATACTGTCGGCTGGCAAGAGTCCCACGAAACACACTGCAAGGCGCCTATAGTCTACAGATGGCGTAATATAGAAAAATGGCGCTTTCTTCCCAAAGAAAACAAATGCACAAAATAAAGTGCAAAAAACAGACCGCGCAAGCCGAAACCAAAGCAATGCGGAAAAAGCACAAATTGAAATGAGAAACTTGTAAAACATTTTCATTAAGAATCAAGAGGAACAATTGCGAAAGCAAACAACAACGCTATACCGCAAGTGCAGGACTGCCTTGGCGTTCTCAAAGTGAACCGCGAAAAATGCTGTAGCGGCACAAGTGACTTATCCAACAAAGCCATTGTGACAGCTCAAATGGGGCACTTGACGTATTTTACACACTGTACTTCACCACAGCCGGAACAGCCGCCCGTTTCTGTTGTTCCAAGAAAGGCGTATTATCATTGCATATTTACGCGCAGTGTATTTGCAAAAACGAAGTTATCAAAGCCCAAAAGTATGCAACACGTTTTACATGCAACTACAAAAAGTGCAACTGTTCTCACTTGCTGAAGGCGAGAAAATGTGTGCTAAGAGAAATAAGCAAAAGAAAAGAACTTTCCACACAACTTCCAAAGTAAGCAAATGCAGCTGCCACAATAGAAAAATACGGCCAAAAGAGCTTGTGGTCGTTGTGTTGCACGGCGATCACGAATTTAATTTGGTGCATGGCAACGCCAGGGCCCTGCGTGTCCAGCGCGTTGTCTCCGCTGTTGCTGCATCGAGCTCAAAGGGGCATTAGGGCGTAGCGGCAGCGTACAGAACATTGCAATGGGCAACACAGCATACAAAGAAAGCCTACGGGAAATGCATTGCACACCTCATGCCCGCCCAGCGGCACTTCGGCTAACTCGAGTAAACTTTGCATGACCTTTCAGCATAGCGTGGCACGAATGACGGTACATTCAGCAGCCAGCGAACAGCAACGAAACGCTCGAAATATGAGGGCACTTGCAGCAAGGCGTTGAAATGAAATTAAAGGCGAGGTGTGGGCATAGGTGCATTTGTATGAAAAATGTGTATATTAACGCGTAATTCTTCACAATTACTCGTTCCTTTGCACTCGAGCGCGCCACTTTGAATGTTGATTTTTTTGCGCACACTTTCCGCTCCACTTTCTTGCCGTAAATATTTGCAACACTTGCGAAGGAAGTGTGTGTGTGTGTGTAATGAATTAGCGCCGCTACTGGGCTTCATTTCCGTTACACATATTTTGTTTTAATTTTATACCATTTTTATTTTGCTCCGTTCACAAGCACACGGAATTTAATTTAAATAAAAGCCGACGTCTTTATTTGGGCAGCAAGCGAAGCAATTTTAATTTTCTTGAAAGCGAAAAATGTTAATTACATTTGCCTTGCTGCAAGAAGCAGAAGGTTGCGTGCGCTACAAAGTAGTTTGCTGTTGTCGCCTAACCGAAAAAGCAAACACGCAAAACTTTTCAGTGGCGCTTTGAGGAAGCATGATGCCAGGATTTTTGCGTGGTCAGCAAACCTAATTGCAGTGATAACATTCAACGGGTTTTTGTCAGCTGATCAGCTGCAAGCTTGAGAGTAACCAACACATGCATATACTTATATAGCTGGGTGTTTGCCTTAACACAGACTCTTCCGGTGAATAAAACCGAATAAAAGAAATTTAATTAAGCAATATGGAAATGGAAAAAGCGTGAGCGGATTTTGAACGTACCGGAACCGCGCACGGTTTGGCATACGCTAGCAAACGACGCTCGGTTGTCGGTTATAATTATAATTAATATATGTACGTATAATATATAGCAAAGCGACAAACTCAAACAAATCATTTACAAATACAAAATTTTTTTTTCGAATTTCTTCTCGGCAATTGCAGCGATAGAACAATGAATATGCGGTTTTTACTTCCGTCTGTGTTCCGTAATCAGTAATACATTAGCAAAGCTATAAAACTTATCTTAAGCGTGCTGCGGCCACAACTTCAATGCTCGCCCACCTGCAATTACCGCAAAAAACAAAAGCAACAAATGCTAGGAAGTAAAAGTTACTGAGTCTCGCTTACATCTTTCCTCCCTGCTACACACACAATATGCTGTTGAGGTCCGTGACACAAAATATTGTTGAAGTTAGATGTGTTGCGTAAATGTACTCGCAGGTAAGCAGTTAAGCAGTTACTTCATTAACCATGTAAGCTAAGTATCTGGGGCGTCTGTGAGTCGAGTGCTGTTGTGCTGCACTAAATGCCGTAGAACGAGTACCGGCGACATGTACGGGGAGCGGTGCTCATTATAGTGACTGTAACGGCATTTTTCGACCCTCTGCAAGGCCTTACATGGTTTCTGCAACGGGCTTGCCGGCTTCATATTAATTCTTGTGCGAGTGAGACTGGAATTCTAAGTCTCGAGAAAAGTTGCAACTTCAAGATACTTGTAAAATTTTGCTACGTACTGCTTACGTGATACTTTAGAGTTTTCACCGAGCTTCGTCTAGGAGTTGCCCTGTTACGGAACGCACAGGACTGCTCGCTTTTACTTCACTAACAGTGTTCTTAATATATGTTTTTAAAGACTTGCACAGGTTGCTATTTGGAAACTGTGCCAATCTAATACGCCAGCATTAGTTTGAAATGTTTCATGTCAGGAAATCACTGCAAGTTTTAGTCTCACTTCATGCAGCCTATTCCCTCTGTACGGTTTTCCTCCCAGGGGTGTGCTTACACTCTGTATTCAGTCATTTAATTTTCACACTCCCGCCAGTGGCCGCGAGCGAAGTATTAATGCGATTTTAAACGTAAACTTATGTATGCCTGTGAGTAACTGCATAAGTGCTACACCCACGGTAGCCCATTTAATGTGAGTGCTCTTTAATTACAGAGAGAAAGTTCAGCGCGGTTTCCATGCTGAAATACTTTAAATTATAAAAAAAAAAACGAGAAGAGAAGTTCCGAAAGCCATACACAAATGCGCTTTCATGCATTCGTATTTGCCTGTAATGGTTCCAAAACTTATACGAGTGTAATGTGCATTTAATTTTTTTTTTTATTTTTTATGCAAAATTTTGTTTAAATGGTTATAAAAATATTTTCAAATCCTGTTCTTCTAAATTCGTTATAAAAAGTCTAGTAAAAATAGCCTAGCAAAAACAAGTAATCAATATTATGTCCAAGCTATGCGTTTACGAGCGAATTTCGGTCGGGTAGCTGATTCTGAAGTGACAATGCTCGGCGATCGCTGTGTCACTAAGCGCGGCGAGTCGATGCCGTGGCGTGCAGCTGGCAAGTCCTTCCAAACGTCCAAATTTAAATTCGTAAATGAATTGGTCACTTTAGGCAGCTGAGAAGACGTAGGTCTGCGACGTCCGAAATGTGTTCCGGTCGTAGGTCTACTCGGTATGCCACTCGGCATTAGCTGTGCAATGCTTACGTTGTCGTCTGCCACCGAAGCCTGATCTCCGGCATCTCCACTGTACTCTGTACCAGGAAATGGTGGCGCAGAGTCACTACTCTTAGCTAGAGGCAGCGCACTGCGCGGCGATTGCTGCTCCTCGGCTATTAATTGCTTTAACTTTTCATTGGAATTCTCAAGAGCTGTAAGGTGTGTGGAGCGCACTTCGTAAGTATCGGTTTGGCGTTGAAGATTCTCATTAATGCGCGCACCAAACGTACAGCGCTCTTCCGTTAGCAATTGTTTAAGTTCATGGTAACGCTCTAGATGTTGTTGCTGCCATAAGGACTCGAGCCGCTGCATATTGTATTTAGCCTCTGATTCGTACATTGCCTCAACTTGCGTGAGGTTAACTGATTCAGCCTCTAGATGCCCTCTGTATTTGTTCAGTAGTCTCTTTACATCAGCACAGGTGGTGTAGACACTCAAGCGCTCCAATATGCTTATGCAAAGTTTGATTTGGTTGCAGAATGACTCGGATCGTTTGCGTATGAAAATTTTGATCTTTTTCAGATTGTAGGCTTGCGATACATCTGCAGACTCCATAATTAGCGAACAACTCTCCTCTAGTAGCTCTACTTCCTTATCCAAATCACTTAGGCATGTACGTAAATGCTTCTCCTCCTCTTTTAAACTGTCTGCCTCAGTCTGACGCATCTTCAGCTCTTGCATATGCGTCTCTTGCAGTTCCCGTATCTCTTTAATCTCCTTTTCGCGTATTAGTTGACGCTCTCGTTGAACCTGCTCCGTACGACTGATTCCCTCTTGCAGGCGCAAATTTCGTTCCAAAGACTGTGCTTCTTCACGTTCACGATCGTACTGCTCTTCGATTTTCTTATCCAACCAGTTGAGCTTGGCCAGCGTCTCATTGCTAGATTTCGATTCGAACAACACATTGTCATCATCCACACCATGTCGCCAACGTCCATACAATTTAGCCTCTAAATCCAGTTTCCGTTTGATATTCTCACGTTCCTTAGCACTTTGTTCAATCTTCTCCAGCTGTTCGGTGGTAGCGGCAATCTTGCGCGACCGCGGCCTTTCGCGCTCAAGCATTTCTCTTTCGTACAGCATCTTCTCTTTTTCAAACAGTTCACGCAGACGTTCACGACGCTCAAGCTGCTGCATCTCCTTTTCGCGTGTTTCGCGACGCTGCTTTAGCTGCTCTTCCGCATTTTTGTAGTACTCTGGCTTGGTCCAGTTCTCGAAACGTGTTGTCACCTTGCCCCAATGATCATAGTAACGATTGACGGCAGCTGTACGCTCAATACGATCGTGCTCAATTTCGCGACGGCGTGCAAAGAGCGCCTGGATTTGATGGGATCGTACGGACATTTAGCACGAAGTTGAATACGCACTCGAACGTCAGTCTGTTGCAAAATGGCGGCTAAAAGATATTGAAGAGAAAAGTGAATTAACTTTAATATATGATATATATCCAAATAGTTGTGTTTAAACATTTATTATTTAAAACAAAATTATTGGCCTGTCAACAGTGAACGTTTTTTACGATTTTTTTCTTAACTACGTTTTGAAAAAAGTCAAAATAATTCAAATAATAATATGTAATACGCAACGAAATAGTTGTCACTACTTTCACTTCTTCCTATATTTATTAAATGGGTATTGGCTTTCTTACCAACTGCTGCGAAAAGAAGCAGTGTAGGTAGAATACGAAGCACTTCAAATGACTGATTTTATTTGAGTAATTAGAAATGCCGACATTCAAGAAGATTCTTATTCCGAAAATGTGATACGACATAAGGAAAATAGAGCGAGAAATAATGGCATCGCTTGTTTTTCTCTCACCATCGCGGAAGTTTCTTTTACTTGTAGTAGTGTGTGGTTATGCTAACGGACGGTAGTAAGTCATTTTCATATCTACAGGCGACTATTCTAAATTAATGATAATGTACGTTTCAATAATCCCTGAGTAATTGCTCTTCTCCGATTGGCTGTAATATGTATATATATTTTAACGAAAAATCATGCTGCATGAAACGACAAACCACTGGTCCACTGTCGGAATGTTTAATAAAAATTAGGCAACCTCATAAATCACTCGTCGAGAAGGGTGAACACTTTACCTGTTATTAAATATTCTTAACTGAGTACAGATATTTTAATTACTGGTAGATTGAAACAAAACCACAAACAAACTGTATCTTTTCGAGACACTCCACCTGCCCGCCGGTTTTGATGAGCTTTATACTAGAAATATGAACCAGAAAGTGGCCAAAGTGCGTGAAAGCTAGCTTTGTTGAGTTTTGCATAGCTAGCACATACTCGTTCACATGAGCATGTATATTTACCCCGCCGCGAGTAACAATAATGCGATAATGCTAATGACATTAACTGATTGCGACCAGGAGTGCAGAGTGTTGGTTGTGTTGTGGCAACAATGCGCCCAACGCGGGCGGCTAACTCACACTAATGCTATCAGGCACAAGCAGTTACAGAGTTCAGCAGAGCTTGCTGCCGGGTGTTTAGTGCTTTACATTTACTTGTGCTTTCCTTCGTTTTTTTCGTTTTTTTTTTCTTTTTTTGCTAATTAATTTCAGAGACTCTATTATGTTTTCATCTTTGCGACTTGCATTCCTCTAATGCCACTGGCAAAATAGCTATGTAAAAGTGGCATCAGCATGGCGAGCTAACGCAGGAGCAAGCCTACCACACATACAACCATCTTTCCGGCTTCCCTGCGCGTGTTCATGGTGAAGCCTCAACCCAGCGCACTGCCGAATGCATACATACAAACGTGCACACGCATACTTAGAGAGCTCGATGGCGACTTGTGTTTTCACGCCTCGCTCGCGAATGTTGTGCTAATGATTTTGTTCACCGAGATTATTTACTCACATTTGACATGGGTTTGTGCCTTAGTGGCTTCACAACTTCACGTGTATGTGGCTGCCAATTGTCGTAGCGCGTTATATAGTATGTATTTACGCCATGGCGTCCTGGTGTGCCACGGCCTTCCGGGCAATCCATACATCCCAAGCGAGTGAGTTTCTTGTTGCCACTTATTCTTCTTCATCGAAATGTTACAAAATTTTTTTTTGAATTCCTTACACGCCCACTCGCCCATTATTAGGTCATTTTATTTGGAGACTTTAATAGCAATTTAAATGGGTTTTATGTGCGCAATAATTAAGCAAATATCACTTAATTGGATTGAATGAATGTGTATGCTGGTGGTTGCACCAATTTGTTCGCAAATAGTAAAATATTTATTTTTTTTTTCGAAGATCTAAGGAAATTATTATATGAAAGTACCAGATGGGAAGGTAATACAATAGTAGTTAGCTAAGTAAAAAATTCGGTGGGGAAATTGCAAAGTCCGTTAAACTCTTACAGGGTCTGAATTTCAAAGATGACTGTGGTCTGAGTATTGGATGTAGATGTGGTTAGATATAGATACTTAGCCTTGGTAGCATGTAACAATAACTATATATATTTCGAACAAAGGGCCGATTGAAACCGCTTTCTAGAAGGCGTTACACAAATCAAGCTCATTTTCTAATTTCCAATTCAAATTTCGATTTAAACTGTACACACTCAGCACGGCTTTTGAGCGCCGACACTGCTCTTGAATGTGCTCACTCAAGCGCAAGCATAGACTTTCAATTTCATATGCAAAATCAAAAAAGCAGAAAATCAACGGAATAGACAAAAACGGTCTGCAGAGTGGGCGGATCGTTGGGTAAACTCAATATTGGTTACATACATACGCCAACTAGACGCTATCATTATGCTAATGGACGCAAAAATCCGCGATTTTTGCAGCAACGGCGAAAAACTTCATTGGAATTGTGGTAATTCATGGCGGACAGACAAAGGCGCTCACGCCTTTGCGTTGATAGGCAATTTGTTAGGAAATCACTGGCCCGCAGCAGTAATACACATAGGATACATATAGATAGTGTATTCCTATCTTTTTCTGCTACTAGCAAAGAATACAAGACACAATTTGGAAGGGGCAAAATCTATTTGACGAAACCGTCAAATTGGCGAAAGATTTGCAGCATTGACGCCTTTAAAGGAAGGAAGGGTAGCGGAAATAGGAATTGGAAACGGACAATCAAGCAAGGAGCCGCAATTTGTAGGAATAACGGGAAGTCTTTATGAGTCATTCGGATGCTACTTGTTTCGCTACAACTTACAATATTCATAAAATCACCACAATAAGAAATGACAAGCAACTCATTTGAGTCAAAACGACTGCCGCTGCCAGGAAAACTACCACGCTTATTGTTTCTATTGTAACTGAAATTAGAGCGAAGGCAAGCTAATAAGCTTAAATGTGTCAAAATGATGGCAGCAAATACACATTCGCCCGAACAAAGTGGGCTGCGGTGGAAGCCGCGGCGAGAACGTAAGGAAGCGGCCTATAAAATTTACAAAATCAGTATACTTAAGAACGTCAATGGTAATCAAGCGGAAAATGTCTAAGTGAAATAAGACAACGCAGACGGCTCGGAAATCATAAAAAAGAAAACAAACGCAGAAAATTGCCGACATTATATGGAATACTGCCAAAAACGATGGACAAATATAGCTCAGCGTAGACAATTAAAGTAAGACACCAAGAACAAAAAGACGCGACGATAATGATGAGCAAGTTGGGATTTTTTTTATCTGGTAGCCAATGAAAGTCAAAAAAAAACAAAAAATACGACTACTGGCGAAGAGCAATAAAAGTTGCGGAAAGCGGGTAGAAGAGTGAAACGGTAGCCACGCGCTATCAAAAGAAGCTTCTAATGAATGCACATAGCTTTGCAGTCAGGCGGACGGTAAACAAGCGGCCTAAATGTATGGAGTATATTAGCTAAAACAATGCTACTACTACACGCGGCGCATGTTAGTATGTATTTGCTGCGCGTAACTCGCACGGCGAAATTTCAAACAGTGATTCCCGCAGTCGGTGCGCTGATAAGACACTACATCACAGCGGCAATAACAATGCCACAAATGACAAGGCGGTCACGAGTAAGTAAGGGTCTGAAACGCACAGATGCTGATAAGCATTCGTTTTAGCTTCATGGTTGGTGCAAGGGAAGTGGACAATGACGACAGAGCAAGTAATGGCGTTGTGGTGGGCACAGCATAGATTGCGGCTTTGATGATGGCGCTGATTATAATGGCGATTGCAGTGAACACGACGAAATTGAACAAACGCCCAGTCGATAGGCATACTGGGTGATTTTTTTTTCACCGATCTTATTTCAAAGCGATATGTATGTACGCACAAAGGCCTGTATGTACGAGTATAGCGCAGAATGACGCATCGTTGAGAAAATGCTAGGAAAGGAAAGTCCCTAAAATCTACGAAAAATTACAAGCGCCGCTTATCACAAAAGCGTTGCAAACAATAGGGGACAGATAAGCGACTATAAATGCCAGAACATCGACGGCATAGCAGTCAGTACCACAGCCACCAAAAAAAAGTTCGATTAATAGAGCTAAAACTACCGCACAGTTTCTTAGAAAAAAACGAGAAAAACTACGAAATATTTGTGATAAGCGGAATTCGAGCTTCGAAAATACTTAGAATGCCACGAACTTCTCTACTTGCAAAACTATTGTTGGCGCTGATGCACGTGTATCTGTTACTGCTGAACGGTGCTGACACAGGTATTTTAAATATTTGGGGCAAGTATGTATACGAATAGATCTCAGTTACTGAAATTCAACTAAAAAGGGCACACGAAATTTAAACTATACAAATCTGCTTTGTTGTTGTCTCGAAAGGGTCGCAGCGCAAAACACTTACCGACACAAATAACAACAGTATAAATATTTAGGGAATTCGACAAAACCACATATATGTTATACAAGTTTGACATTACAAAATTCCAACGGCGCTTATCACTCACAGCTAACGAAAGTAACAACCACACGGCAACCGAACGCTCATTTCGCACATGACAAATGCTTACGGCGACATTCGTTCATGCTAAATTCCTCCATACCACTTGTTTTTAATAGTTAGTCCAGTGATTGGGCGTTGCTGTATTGGGTGCCGTACTCGCACCATACGCGCTTTGTTGCATCAATTTCAATTTCAAAATGAATTCCAGGTACAATTTACCGGCTGTCAGCCGTGTTCATCAATCTTCGCCAAACTTTGGAATTTTAGGCTTCATGGGTGAAGTGTAATTGAATTTGTGCCTAAACTGAAATGCGTAGGCAAATACTCAACAGCTGCAGTTGCAGATATGGACGAAAACAAAAATTCAATAACGTAGTTTGGCTGTGTGCATCGAATAGTAAAATGCCTTTGGTACTTGTGACCATTAATTAAATCATTTGTAATTATTACAAAGCTAAGAAAAGTATGCGGTTTTTATTTAATTCTCGTCAGTTGTCTCTTTGAATTCAAAATTAACATTTATGGTTTAAATAGCCTATAGTAAGCATTTAAGCCACAAGCATCAATCTTTTATGGTCTCATGAATCCACTTAGAACACGAGTTTCGAGTGACTAACTTTTTCTCGCATTTTTGGTAGCGCCAACTGCAACCGCCAACACGAAGTCATCACCAACCTTACTAAGCCGCAACAGAGAAAATACAACAACTGACGTAAGTAGCGTCGACAGCAGCAACAAAGCACAATTGAATTTGAAATGGACGTCACGCAGCGCCTGGCAGGCGGCCCCGCCACTACACAACCCAACACACATAGCTGCACTGGACGGCGTTTCATATGTGATCATTCATCACACTGCAACAGCAGCAGGCGACACAACACCAACGAGTGTGTGGCCAGCGTTCGCGCCATACAGCGTAACCACCAGCAGCAGCGCGGTTGGGATGACGTCGGTTACAATTTTCTAATCGGTGGCAGCGACGTACGCGCCGAAATTTATGAAGGGCGCGGCTTCGATGTGGTGGGCGCACATGCCGTCGGCTATAACTCACGCAGCGTGGGTATCGCGCTAATTGGCGACTGGACAGGTGAGTGACGGAATAGAGTAAAAACGTCGGAAAAAACTCTTAAAGCCGCAATACCAGTAGTATGATAAACTTTATCTGCAAAACAACAATAGGTTTGCGAAATTTTTCTCGCCGCATATGTGTAGGAGGCGGCTCTTTGCAAACAGAGTTATTCATGTGTTAATTGAAAAGCATTTTTTAAATAGCGGCTTTCAACCGACGCCAATGGCGTTTTTGAAAACTTTACAGCTTTTCACAAAAACTCATTAGCCGTGGATGAAAGTTAAAGAATTACAATGAAAAGTTGCTTTCAGTGCGAAAGCATATATTGTGAAAGCGTAATTTAATCACACATCAAATGCTACAAAGAAGCAGTGATATGCTATCGCTCAATTCGTATTTAACCTACTTTATTTTATTTTGTGTTTCATTTGCGCTCTTCTTCTTGGTTTTCGTATGCCGTCAATCAGCCGACCTACCGCCACGTCCTGTGCTGGATAAATTGCAACAGCTCATAACTTACGGCACACAAATGGGCTACATACAACGGAACTACGTGCTGCTCGGCCATCGGCAAGTGAAGGCTACAGAATGTCCAGGCAACCGGCTGTACAATGCACTCAGGGCATGGCCACACTACGTGCAACACACGACGTAAGGATACACAAATGGTAGAGCGAAGAGTGCGTAAGAAGACTGACGATGATATGGATGGAGCATCAAACGTAAAATGCGAAAGTGAAATTATTGACAGAAAATTGCGTATTGCAGAGAATGCGCTGAATTTACATTTTTTTAAATTTAATTGCTATTTATTCATTTAACAAGTTATTTATTGTGTGGACAATGTAATATGATTTCTTAAAGTATTTGTGCAGAAACTTGTGCAATATACTTGTACGAGTGCAATTCATGTGCGGCATCCATAAGAATCCAATAATTTATATGCCATATTGTAGTTGTTTAAGTGCTCATATGAGAGTGCGAGTGAGTAAGAAAACAATTTATTTGAATTTTTTTTATTTATATAATATAAATAATAAAGCAAATTTTAATTATATCTAGTACAGAGCATAAACATTTTGTTAATACTTGTACATGTTCGGCTTAAACGTTATATAATATATAACAATTTTCTGAATTTTGATGTTTCGTGGTTTAAAGAACTGACCAAGGCAAATTTAGAATCATATAAGAAGTTTTTCCGAATACTACATGCATTTCTGACAGGGCACACAAAGTTTAAAAGATTTACAACAGGTAATTTTGTATTGAAGCTTCCAAATTTCTTCACGACTGACAACAATTTGCAAGTCACTAAGCTAATAAATGTGTTAAAAAAATTTTTTTGAAACTAAAACCTCTACAACTTTTTTTTTGAATAAATATACAATATGCAACAGCTTCCAGCACTCATATCGTGTTGAGCCACTTACTAACTAATCGTACAAGCTTTTAGCCAAACTAAAACAATACTTGAATTGCCATACAATAACTGCAGATTGACACTTCTCTTTCATACTAAACCTACTCAATGGCTGCTCTCACCGCCAACCGCAGATCAGCTTTTACTCAACTGTGCCTCCCCGCACCAGGCGGAGCACTAAATCAAAAACAAACGAATTTGTGGTTTCTGATTCGAAAATACTGTACACTGGCAGAGTGACTTTGTCTATACCGCGCCAGCTTATCGCAAATTGAGCGCCAACCGCCGAACTAGCTAAGCAAGCAGCATTCGTGGACGCGTGTGCGGCGAGATGCGCGGGACTGCGCGGTATTTTACGCCCGCGGCTAACTTTGTAAATCTGACATATTCCAATTTTTACAGCGTAGCCAACACACATTGATATATAACTGCGCAACATATGTGTGTGTATAGATGCGTATACAACGAAACCTTTTCAATTTATGTTACAAATTTGTCAAATGCACACAAAAATACGCCAATCGAACGCATTGTATGGATGTGTATAAATGTGTGTGTGCGTGTGTGTGTGTGCCTAACCTGTGGGTATTAGAAAATCGATATTCAATTTCTGTCGTTGACGTTTGTGTTATTTTTGTATTTCCAAATAAGTTCGCATATTTTTTCACCGAATTCAATGTCGACGTAAATGAACGAGCCTTACTAACGTTCTTCTGCGCTTTGCAGTGTTCATATGCCGTTCCGCACAAAATGTGGAACGGCATATTGTTGTAAAGTTCTCGGTGATTGAAGTGAATATAAGAAAAATTTTAGATATCAAAGTAGAAAGTCTTAAAACTGAGCTAGATCAACTGCATATCAGACATGCGTGAATGTCTAGTTCTAGACTAGTGAAAAATACGCCAATTCTCACCAGATCGTGTTCGCCAAAAAACATACAACGTTTAATAAACTTTGCAATAGTTGCGCTCAAAATCACAGTTGTCCTCTACCAAATGGGAAATTAATACTTCGTATTAAAAAAGTTGCAAGTTCTGAATTCTTCTGCGAACATATTGTAAGAAAATTTTACAAATCATTTACAACGCGGAATTTACATAGTTGTTAACTAAAAGCAAGAAAAACTGTTAACTTTGGCTGCACCGAAGCTATAATACCCTTAACAGGTGCATGTCCTATAGCGTAGAGTATAAAAAGATCTCTATCATGTTTTTTATCGGTCAGTTTGAATCACAGATATTATCACTATACGATATCGGCGGTTCCGACAGATGAGCAGCTTCTTGGGAGAAAAGGACGTGCGCAAAATTTCAGAACGCTATCTCAAAAATATCGGGTCTCCGCTAATTGCTTCTATAGGGGTTTTATCAACTTCGTATCAAACTTAATATACCCTGTTTAGAGTATAAAAAGCAAAGCTAAACGCTGATTTACTTGCTGTTGGATCACTAACAACGAGTAACACACAAATTAGTTTATTTTATATACTAAATCTGAGTGGCTAAATTAGCATTGCCACAACCATTATATATTGAGAGTACCATATGTTAGCAAAGAGTAAATACAAACACCACCACGGCTCACCATATCCACTGACTCACCCTGATTGTATCTTCTTTATTTGTCTACGTTATTATTGAGTGGACGACAACTGGGTACTTGATATAAATTTGTTCACCTACCTAGGAGAGAATGAAGATGACTTTTACCGTAAATAATTACATCGCACTATTTCCTTCGCTGAGAGCTATTTGCACAACTCAAGAGCAAAAGGGCACAAACCACGTAGAGCATCGGCAATTTTCGGCATAAGGAACGTGTAATAGTGCCAAAAAGATCTGGGCGATTACTTCGTACGTAAAGGAAACAGAAAAATAAATTGCAGCCAAAGTTAAGAAAGTCGTTAAGAAAAAAATACGTACGCACTTATTTTTACGTGTGCTTACAGAAATCAAGTGACGAAAACTCATTGGCACGTGTTGTCAAAGGAGATAGATAAACGAGCGAGGAAAAATAAATATTTCAGTGACTTTCGTGCTCACATACTCACACTCCAAGACAGTTCTAATTTCGCTCAAGTTTAATTACAATAAAATTGATTTGATGAGAAAATGTTTGTCTGCATTGAACGTTTCAGCTCGCAGTTGTTTTGCTGAAAGTAATTGCGTGCGTCCTTTACGCCTGAGAGCTGCCTAAATAAATTATTTCTATTTGATTACCTAAGCATAGCTGATTGCATTTGATGAGGTGAGAGAGGGTTTACCCTAATGTAACAATTTTCCATTATATTAAAGGAAGACATATGAGCACTGCTTAAAGGTAGAAAAATAGCATAACTTACAAATCGATAACTTATTACGGCATTTATTTTCATTATATAGGTTCAACAGCCGAAAACTTACGCGTCTACACATAAACATACAGTTTACTAGCCGCGATCCATAAAAAAGTGAAACGCGTTTAATTTACTATTACTTTACTACTAAACTATCAACCCACTCAAAACAAATTTATCCATTTCGCTTACAAAGTAAGCAATATAAGAACGAATCATTTACTCCTCTTTCAAGATGGAAGTTGGTCAAGCTTCATTCAATTTTCGACGACCTAGGAATGTTTACAAGTGTCTGTGCCTTCACTTTCGTGACACATGAAAACACGCAGCATGCCACAGCCACAACTTTATTAAACTAAATTGTTTTATCCACAAGACACCTTTGGCATTATCAAACATCTTGCCAGACTTATATATACATATATATACATATATATAAATATATATTCATTCACGAGAGGACAAATAGGATACCCACGCTACAGCCACATCCTCATACACGAACATCTGAGAGCGTGCGATGCTGCAACTTAACACCAGCAATGTGCATCGCACAACTACCACAAACCCAATGTGCGTGACTGCAAACCTGTTTCCTTGAATATCACGTGATGATGCTTGCTTTGCCACAGGCACCTCAACACCAATACCAACAAAGAAGCCATATTCCATACTCATACTTTTGAATTGCGCCAGCCATACCAATCTACTATTATATAATGCTTTGACCTCGATTCGTGTGCATGTGGGTGTGCAAAGGTAGAGGTGCAAATTTTTCATGAATGTGCATTTTAATATTTTTCTCCTAACACAATACATCATTTTGTTGGCAATAGCAAACGCAACAGCAGCTGCACCTATACACACACTCACACACTTACAAATATACACCATACATGCATTTAGTAGAGTGCTTCCAGGCGCCACTTGAGTGGTTTTCCATGACAGCATATTTGGTGATTGCGCACACTCTCATGTCATACACAGCCTTTGCTATGTATGTATGCTGGAGAGACATATACTCCACGTAATAAAATTACTAAGTTGCGTGTATTTTTTTCTGCTTGTTTATTGATTTCGGTTTCTTTGAATCACACATTCAAATTCGTCTCTACTTTCACTGTTGCTTATGTGAGACCCAGTTCACGTTATCTACAAATACAAAGTCAGTTATGAGAACTTCGTTATTGGCAGAAACGTTAATGTAATGAAACGCTATGTGCGAGCATACACATATTAAGAGGTGGTAAGGTGAAGTTGCCACAAAGTTTGGTTAAAGTATTCACGTATTCATAACTTATTCACATACATTTAATGCACACTTCAGACTTGATGGCAACTCTGTCGCACATACACAGTGTAGAAACAAGCATGCTTGCAGGGAAAGCTAGAATAAATTGAAAGAAGACGACATAAGGCGACAACTTAGTGGCGCAGATAATAAAAGTGACAGCAGTTGCCGCAAATGTGGCACAAGCTTGGTAATGCAAGTTGAAATCAAAAACCGAACTCACTATAACAGTAAAGTGATATAACAACAACTAAATAAGTGTAGTATAGCAATTTGCAAGTGTAATTCGAGTACCAACAAAGCGCAAAGTGCAACAAGTGCACAGCAAGATTCGGTCAGGACTTGAAAGACAAAAGCGATGGCTCAATCTAACGTCCTTCCATTTTCAAATTAGCAAATTTCTTTATATTTGCATATGAGTGGTAAAGACTTTCATTTTTGAAAAAATTAAAATTCTCATAGCAAACAATGTGCAAGAGTCTAACCTTCATAAACTAATCAAATATTTTTTGCATACAGGAAATAAATTTAAATTTATATTATTTTCTTCTATATACTTCTCCATGATGTACAATAGTTGGATGAGTACAGTCGGCTACAGTAAGCGAACAATTTTAGAACTAAACAAGTAAGGAAGTGCTAAGTTCGGATGTAACCGAACATTTTATACTCTCGCAAAGTCAAATGGTATACTCGTTTGAGATTCCTTTGTGGATTGGCTGATATTTTCGGTAGAAGGTCAACTATAGGCACTGGGGTCCACATATTTAGTACTTAGGGGTTTGAACAGTTTTGGTTCGATTTAGACAATTTTTGGCCGCAAGGTGGCATACTTTAATTGCATTATTCGCACAAAGTTTTACCCCGATATAATCATTGTTACCTGATTTGCATAGTGGAAAGTGAAAGAATCAGATGGAATTGAAAATGGTGTTACATGGGAAGTAGGCGTGGTTGTAGTCCGATTTCGCCCATTTTCGCACTATGA